GATTATTACATTGCAGACACATTATTTATTGCAAAGCACCCAACTGTTTTGGATTTTAGTACTAACTTTTTTATCCTCACACTAATTTCATTGAGAAGTTTCTGGGAGGTGGTATTGGAGGTAGTAGTAGTGGTTGTGATTTTCATAGAAGTATATGATATTCTGGGAAAGCTGAATTTATTTTAATACTTCTTTTGCAGAAAAATTAATCAATTAAATTCTCTGAGTCTTCCAAGCAATTATATTAAATTCTCCCAACTATTGCTTTATTTTTTCTTTTTAAAAATTTTTTTTTACTTTTTCGATTACAGTTGACATTCAATATTATATTAGTTTCCGGAATACAACATAACAATTTAACTTTCATATACCTCAAAATGTGATTACCACACTAAATCCGGTAATCACCTGTCACCAAGTAAAGTTATTACAATGTTATTGACTATATTCCCCTTCACCTTTTTACCTATTTCCCAATCTTCTCTCTTCTGGCAACCATCAGTTTGTTCTCTGTTTCAGATCTTTATTTGCTTATAATATTCTCACCACCTATCTTTTTACCTTCTGCGACCTGACTTCTAGTCTCACCATTTCACCAAACCTGCTCTCAGTAAAGCTTTCTTCTTTATTCCGATCCTTCTAGAACCAATCACCACCTTTAATATTTATGACCATATTCTCATACTTGGGTGGCACTCAAAGCTCATATTCCCTGACAACACTCACTCATAGTGTGAAAGGAAAAGGCACCCACTGAAATCAAAGACCAGGAGGGAAAAATATATGTGAACTTTGCTGTAAGTGCTCAGAGGCAGAGCCAAGTCACAGCTAGGGCTCATTAGGAAGAATTTTTACTTTAAACCCAAGAGCCCAAGTCATCTAGGCTACAGGTCCCCAACCCCCAGGCTGCAGACCAGTACTGGTCCATGGCCTGTTAGGAAATGGGCCACACAGTAGGAGTTGAGCAGCAAGCAAGTAAGCAAAGCTTCATCTGTATTTGCAGCCACTCCCCAGGACAGTTAAACAGAAAACAGTTAAAATTCAGTCTGTCTGACGTCAAGGCCTTGAACAGGCTTTTTCCAAGTTCTTGCCCCTTAGACCCTTGGAATTATGTTGTCCTTTCCAAAGTCTGATTAACAGTTCTTCCTTTGATTCTGTTAGCTATCCAAGCTCCTATAATAAATTCCATTTTTACTGAAATTAGCCAAAATTGATTTCTGTTGTTAATGTAACTATTATATTAAACAAATAGGCCTCCCTAAATCAAATCATGAAGGAACTTTACTTTTGTCTCTTTAAATCTATTCACGAGACTTGCTCTTCTCTGGCCCCTGAACAGAAGTGAAGACAGGGGCCCTGAAGTCAAACGGTCTGGGCACAAATTCTAGCTCCACCTCTAGCTACCTATGATATTTACTGTCTCTTTGCTTCAGTTTCCTTACCTGTAAAATGGGGGAATAACAACACCTACCTCATTGGGTTAATAGAAAACTTAGACTTCCCAAATGAAAAATGCCTGGAAGTGTACTTGGCACATAGTAAGTCCTGAAAAATGTTAATATTGCTGGTAGCAGTGGTGGTCCAATGAGTTTGCCTTTCTTCCTCATAACCCATCTTATCAAGCCCTGACCATTCCTGTTTCCATACCTATGCTTATGCTAGCCTTCTCTTCTTTTCTAAATCCTTCAAGACATAATTAATTCAAATAGCACCACTTCCACAAGGCCCACATTGATTTGGAAAGACTACATTAATCTATTTTGTTTGTGGGAATTATATAATTTGTAGCAGACATGTGAGTCCTGGTTTCATATAATATCATTGTTTTTTAATTGTACCTGTGTGTAAATCACGACTATCTCAACAAGAAAAAGTGTTTCTTGAAGCCAAGAATGATATTTTATATTCTTTTATGTCCTTCCTATTACTTAGTCCACAGTAGGGGATCACAGTAAGTCCTTAATATTTAACTTGGCCCTCTGAACAGCTAAAAGTATTTCCACAATTTTCACAATTATTTTAGGGTTTGTATAGCTACAAGCCTTTAGGCCTGTTTTATTATATGTGTTGCTGAAGTTGCACATGGCACATGTTTTTACTATGTATAAGCTTACAAAAAAGGCTACAGAATTTTCCATTTTCTTCCCACATGAGGCATCTAATAAATGTTAATTATCTACTCCCCAAAAAAGTTGAAACTTAAGGAGTTAAAAATTAATTCCAAAAATGATAGGAAATTCCAAATGTATCTACTACTATTAAGATTTGAAAGTACAATGCCAAAAGGTTTCTGTTTTGTTTAAAAATTAAAAATGTAAAGATATGGGAAACACATACTCACACACTTTTTCCCCTTCTAATACATTTTTTTTCTCAGAAGAATTATTGAGGAAGGACAAAGCAGAGAAGGTAATTAGTACCTTTTTATTGTTACGTTTGTCGAGAAATGTTCTTTTATTTTTGAAACTCCGAATAACATAAAGTACACCATCTTCTTTCTCTAATTTCTCAAACCACATCAAAAAATACATAGAAATAAAAACTTTTCCCATTGATGCCCAAGAGATTATAATTTACATATTAAAAGACGACATTGTTTCATAGCTATATGGGCAGTTTTTTAGTGATGTGGAAAAGTCAACTGGAAAAGAAAAATTAAATAAGCCTAGACTCAATTCCATGTGAATTGGGGGTCCTAGTGAGTGCAATCAGGCAAGAGAAAGATATAAAAGGCATCCAAATAGGAAACGAAGAAGGCAAACTGTCACTATTTGCGGATGACATGATTCTCTAGATAGAAAACCCTAAAGACTCCACAAGAACACTACTAGAAACAATAAGCGAATACAATAAAGTCTCTGGATATAAAATCAATGTTCAAAAATCCATAGCGTTCCTATACTCTAACAACGAAGTGTCAGAAAATTGGAAAAAATAATTCCTTTTGCAATTGCAACAAAAAGAATAAAATACCTAGGAATAAATTTAACAAAACATGTAAAAGACCTATATAATGAAAGCTATAAGATCCTATTAAAAGAAATTGAAAAAGATACAAAAAAATGAAAAGATATTCCGTGTTCTTGGATTGGAAGAATCAACATAGTTAAAATGACTTTATTACCTAAAGCATTAAACAAATTTAATGCAATCCTCATCAAAATACCATCGGCATTTTTTAAAGAAATAGAACAAAAAATCATCAGATTTGTATGGAAGGACAAAAGACCCCAAATTACCAAAGCAATCCTAAGAAAAAAGAATGAGGCTGAAGGCATCACTCTGCCTGACTTCAAATTATACTACAAAGTGACAGTAATCAAAACGGCATGGAATTGGCAGGGAAACAGACACACAGAGCAGTGGAACAGAATC